CGGTGGCTCTGCCGAGTTCTCAGTGTGTAATTGCAGTTCAGCGTCCCCTGGTTACCTAGTGACCAGGGGACGCTGAACTGTCATGAGAGCTTGTTGGAGCCGGCGGTGATATCAAAGCCGGCTCTGCTAAGCTCTCATTGTAATGACAGAACAGCATCCCCTGGTTACGAGGTAACCAGGGGGGCGCTGATCTGCCATTACTATGAGAGCTTAGCAGAGCCGGCTTTGATATCACCGCCGGCTCCGACAAGCTCTCATTCTAATTACAGCTGGTCCCGGCCAATATAAAACAGTTGGGCGGAGCTAGCTGTCACTGCTAGTCGTAGTCGTAGCCCAATCGTTTTCTACTTTTTTTCCCCACAGTTTAACTATTCTGCTCGGTACCACAGATGTACCGAGCAGAATAGCCGAGCCGAATGATGCTCGGCGGCATTCGGCTATTCACTCACTGGTGTTCGGCCCCTATGAGAATAGGCCGAACAGCAGCGAGTAGCCTGCCGGAGGTTTGGTTATAGGTCTCTGATTCAACTCTGACTGCTGTGTCCTCTGTGTCCCACGGTGTCTGTCCGACGTGCATGCTGCCATGCTGCGTGCATTGACTTACACTGTGTCTCTCCTCTTTTCCCGTTTGAAGATCTCTACTGCGCATGCGTCCTCCCCATCATGCTGCTCGAGAATCTTCAGATCTTCGGTCGGGAGCAAGCGGCAGAGACAGAGGTAAGTAAAACCATTTTTGGTAACTTTTTTTTTTTTATGTTTTTTTTAAATGTTTTTGCATATACTGTATCTACTGCTATCAAGCAGTAGATATATGCAAAAAAAAAAAGAGTTTTTTCATACACTTCAAACTTACCTCCTCATGTTTCACTTGCCCCTCCCTTTTAGATTGTAAGCCCTCAGGGGCAGGGCCCTCCTTACCATCTTGTATTGAATTGTATTGTAATGTCTTCCTTATATTGTAAAGCGCTGCGCAAACTGTTGGCGCTATATAAATCTTGTATGATAATAATAATAATACTTCAACCAATTGATGACTGGGGTGTTAAACCCCCTTCCTGTCCAGGCCATTTTTTAGTATTCAGCGCTGTTGTAACAATTTAGCCATGCAGCGCCGTACCAAAATGAATTTGATATCTTTTTTTTAGGACACATAGAGCTTTCTTTTGGTGGTATTTAATCACCACTATATTACTATATAGTATACTATATTAAGGAAAAATTACTGAAAATGTTGAAAAGTAACCTGTTTTCACTATGTTAAGCTATGAAAAATTGCACTGATGGCATTTAGGACTCTAAAGGACTGACAGGCTGGCACTGATGGCAATCAGGACTTTGACAGACTTGCAGGCTGGCACTGATGGCATTTAGGACTCTGATGGACTGACAGGCTGGCACTGATGGCAATCAGGACTCTGATGGACTGAAAGGCTGGCACTGTGGCAATCAGGACTCTGATGGACTGAAAGGCTGGCACTGTGGCAATCAGGACTCTGATGGACTGAAAGGCTGGCACTGTGGCAATCAGGACTCTGATGGACTGAAAGGCTGGCACTGTGGCAATCAGGACCATGATATTACTAGGAGGCTGGCACTGTTGCAAAATTTGTGCTGGAACAAGTGCTGGTTAACACAGTATTCGCTGTCACTGTAAAGATAGTCGTTCCTGCCTCACTGTTCACATGGAGCACACTGGAGAATGGACGTTATCCGCTCTGCTCCCCGCTCTCCATTCTGAACTACTTTGTCATGGTCCCAGGTCCCCCAGAAGAGCGGTAGACCTCAAAAACCACTGCAGGGAGGGAGGCTTAATACAATCGCCGAGATCACATGTACTAAACAAGTGGTGGATTCCATGCTGTACATTTGGCCCTGCTTGCCCGAAGAACCTGTGCCGTTGCTTGCCCGAAGAACTTCATGTCCTGGGCGTCCGGCGATACAAATTCGACAACCCTGCCTAGGCCCGCATGCCAACAGAGTGGCCTCTGCGTGCCCTCTGTGGCACGCATGCCATAGATTTGCCATCACTAGGTTAGACCCAAAATAGGTTTTTTTAACCCTCATATTGGCTTTTCAAAATAGCAAACAAGATAATTAAGAGATAAGATGTAGGTTTTAGAGCAGAATAACACTTTTGTTAGTTAAATACCTTGTCATAGATATCTGTACCTCAGACCAAAAAGAGGGTCAACTCAGGAGGAAAGAGGGACACAGGGATTTGGTTCCAAATGAGCGACATTTGGGAGGTGTGCAGACACTAAACCCTTAGTGAATCAAAATTCATTGTCCCTTATAGAATGTGTAGAAATTTCTGCAGCAACTGTACAAAATATTATATCTTCAATGCTTGTGGGAATAATAACATTATGAGTAAAGGGTGGACATTGCTGGACGGTCAGTTAAGGCAGCCAACCAAAGAACAGCAAAGTTTTGTAAATTAAACTATGGAAAATGCCAGAAAACACATATAATGGGGCAGCGCAGGGGTTTAGTGGTTAGCCCTTCTTCCTTGCATATTGGCACTCCAAGGCAAATTGGCCCTGTATGCATGTGTGTGTAAAAGAGACCTTAGATTGTAAGCTCCTTGAGGGCAGGGACTGATGTGTATGTGCTGTATGTCAAGCGCTGCATAAATTGTTGGCTCTATATAAATACCTGTAATAAATAAATATCTTGTTCAGAAGTCACATATGAGGTGCATGGAGTATCCTGGTAAATGTGTGCATTTGTGTGTTTCTTAGCTGGAGAGAGATTGCACACAGAATGTAATCACCTTCAAATAGCAGTCACCATGAAAAAGTAAGGGTATTCTTTTCAAGAATTTCGTTTCCCATGACATTCCAGGTCTTACAACCCAAAACCAACAATGTAATACAGTATATTGCAGCTTACCAGTCCTTAGATGTGCTGGATGTATGTAGTTTTTAGGCTTTTTCTCCTTTATCTTTACCTGGTGATCCTGCCAGAAACACGCTTAGTGTCCTAGGGGATAATGCTCTCTCAGTGTATTTCACCTGTTGAATAGCAGTGGCGTCACTCTAGTCTGGACTACAAACACCACCCCTCTCCTCATCTCCATTACATAGAAGAGAGGTATTGTGTTGTTCACAGAAGGTAGATGGAAAGGCTGATTACAGTTTGAGATTACAGTTCAGTGCATACGTGAAAAGGATACTGGATTTCTAGCAAGATCATCAGGCATTTAACCAGATATACCTGTCACAAACTAAGACAATTGAACATGAACATGTGATGACCTTTGAAAATGAAACATTTGAAAGAATGAAAACTGCAACTACTATTATTTGACCCAGAGTTATAAAGTGCAACAGAAACCAAAACTTTTTTCAGTTTTGATAGAGTGGAGAGGGATTAGAACACCTGTCAGGTTTTTAATGGAGATTCACCCTCTCTAGTTATCCTGGTGAAAGTGAACGTAAGAGAAAATCCCAAATTTTGGGTTGCCATCAGATTCTGGTAACCCTCTTGACCACCAGCAATTTCCTTCACATTGGAGGGACTTCCTCCCACTTCCTGTGTTGGCTATTGAACAAGAAGTGAAGGGAAATCTCCCTTTATGGGATGAAGATGGCAATAAAAAACAACTAAGAAGGGTTATAAACCTCCATTATTTTATCCAAAACTAAAAAGTTTTGACTTCAGTTCTAATTTAAAGCCCAATATCCCCAACGGAGATATTTCTAAAAAAACATGCCAGCAATGTACACCGAGGTTACATGAAGCAGACATTTCTCCTCTTAGTCTCCTCATTTCCTGCGTGAACAAGTTTAAATTTAGTAGCCTTGTCTCATAGCTTAGGTCCTCCAGCCCCTCAATTAGTTTAGTTGCCCGTCTCTGGGCTCTCTCTTTTGAAATGACCACCTCTCTGCTTTGCAAGCAGTCTGTGTTAATTAACACTCTCTCTTGCAGCATTCTCTCCGTATTTATTAGTATTCATAGTGGAACCCCCCCCCCACACACACACACACACTCCCCGGACAGTGCAGTGACCTGGAAAGGCAGAACTGGTGTGCAGTGATCTTGTTACAAAGTTACAATGCTTTACAGTCCGACCCCAGTGTCAGACTGAGTGTCTTGTGGGGAAAATTTTCAATTTGTGGGACTCAGGCCTAATAAAAAGTACATATAAATCATTACTGCACCTCTACATTACCACAAACATGCTAAATCACAAATATTACATTTTTCTTTACATATCAGATTGGACCAACTCCTTATTGGTCTTTTAATATTATGGGCTTCCTTTCTGATCAATGTCATGGCATAAGAGGCACAAAAGGGCTGGGCCAAGTTCAAATGTTACATGAAGATTGGAAATTGCATATTATCACTAGATCGTCTTCATCTTATATTCATTTATACCGTCACGTTATCTTTATTTTTTATTATATGTTTAGCTTGGATTGCCTGAGTTTGTGACAGCTGTACTCTGACACGTTTAAGAGCACTTGTAGTGCAACAAAGGAAGTGACATGGGAAATGGGCACTAGCTATCTTATTTTCATTTATAAAGGTTTTAGCTTATGTTTCTGATGGGTTTTCTTTGTTTTCCAGAAATGTTGTAGTAAAAATTGAGTGTGTTTTCTTATATCTCTGGTGTAAAAACAAACAAACACATAATCAAGTGTAAAGTGGATTTTTTCAAAATTAGCGTGGGAAAGGGTTAGAAATCTGTCAGCTTTGTCCGCAGAGATTTTCCCTCACCTCCTGCTCTGGTGACACCACACAAAGTGAGGGGGAATCTCCCAAAGAAAAATAGGACAGAGTCTCTTTTCCTTTCCCACTGTACTGCAATATTTAAAAATAAAAATGTTTGGCTAGAGTCCACCTTGATTAAAAAACACTGCAAAGTACAGTAGCCACTAACAGCCACTCAGCGGAAAGATGTCGTCATAGTTCTGATGTTAAGGTTTAGTTCAAGTGTGTTAACGGTAACCTTGCAAAGAAAATTCTGACACATTTTTCACATCTCTCTTTAGGTAATTTTAAGGGCGTGTGCAAACAGATTGACCACTTTCCAGAGGATGCAGATTATGAAGCAGACACTGCCGAATATTTTCTCCGTAAGTCCACCTGATTTGTTTGCTTGCCTGTTCACACACATATATTAAAGTAAACCTGTGTTTTGCCCATGGAGTGCAAAGCAACATGTTCGCTTTAAAGCGGACCTTGCAGTAAAATGCAACGTCCTCTTATAACATCCAGACCCCTTCCCTCTGTAAAAAAATTGCCTGCTGATAATATGTCTAAAAGGTTACTGTAAAAAAAAAAGCAAACAAGTTTATTTACTTACCTTACCCTCGTCTTCCGCACACAGTGCCTAGCAAGGGTGACGTCATGCTCCTTCCAACGAGATCCTGAGGAACACAGAGCAGTCCAGATCTCTTGAGAAAACAATCTTGCAATGGACTGGAGTGTCTTCTCGTAAGATTTGGACTGCTCTGCATTTTGCAGGAATGTTCTCAGAATGTTGTAACATCACGCCCTGTGATGAGGAAGATGGGAAAGGTAAATATAAAAAAAATTCTGTACAGGTACCTTTTGAACATACTATCAGCAGGTAATTTTTACATAGGGAAAAGTCCGGACATTTCAAGCGGACATTGCATTGTACTGGGTCTGCTTTAATGCCCCCCTCCCCAGCAACACATGATCAACAGCAGAGCCCTGTGTAAACTCCATCTAGTGCAACTGTGAGCTTACATGGGGTTTCCTTTCCTCGCTGCCAGTCAGGCTGAATTAAGTGAAAGGAAAGGCGAGTATGTGCTGCTTGGCAGGAGGGCATTATTGCAAACCTGTTGCTTGGCCCTGAATGGGTAAAACAAAAAAGAAACTGAAATAGAAAAACTAAAAGAATGAAAAATTGAAGGTGTTGCCCAATGCAACCAATCAGTACTTGTCTCTTTTTCTACCCTGTACAGGAAAAATGACAGCTGGAATCTGACTGGATGCTAAATTTCCCCATTTCCTTACCTTTCCTCAAGTTATTATACATGAAGGTCTTCTAAAAGTACCCATTAATAGCTCTCTAGGACACTTTACTGCTAGAAAATGTTCAAACACATTGCTGAAATTACTTATTTTTACATATTTTTGTATAACACGTCAAGAAATGAAACAGCTCTTCACAGACTGTGTTCACCAAGAGCTTCCTGAAGAACCCAAATATTTTCTTCTTAGTTTCACAGTTGTAAGCCTCCATCCATATAAGCCCATATTTAATGATTTCACACTAGAATAGCAAGATATAGTAAGACCTCAAACAGTCTACAATATTCAGTGCAGTTCATATAAGCCATGATGGCAAAAAGAGATATATGATAATAAAACAGCATCTTTAGTAAGGTAGTACAGAGAGTGTTGATGACGTGCAAGGTTCAGTAATCCGATTGCAGCCAATCAGAATTATCTATTTCAGTCAGAGAGATTCTTACGGGTCACTGCACATTCTATATCATAACAGGGTTTTTTTGCGCACTTCTTAGAAGAATTGGTCCAGTAGGATTCACAAATTATCAATGTTTGATAAATATAAAAAAAGAAATGAACTGGGACCAACCAGAATAGGCAGTCTACTATAAGAACTAATAAAAACAATCCCTGACAAAAAAAAATAACAGTCAGTGAACTGCTAATGCTAGCTAGCAAACACTGCAGATGTGCCTAAAGGTAAATTATAGTGTGTTTTCAGTGAGCCAATATTCTGAAGTGCTATTGGAAGGCTTACCTTGGAACTGTGGGCAAAAAGTAATACTGAGAGTATATTTTTCATTTTGTCTAAGGGATGATCTAAAACAGAGAATTGCTTACCTTTATGCACAGTCCTGCAACACTCAGAAGTCCTCTCCACTCTCCCACATCAGAATGTCAACAGGCACTACTCCGTTGTCACATACAGTGTAGGGCCAGCAATATCCACTAGTCTGCCATTGTATGTGATTACATCAGTGAGCGGTGCAGTGAAAAGACAGGTCAGAGAGCAGCAAGGAGAGCATCTTCAGGGGACTGGTTGTCACAATTGGAACTGGCACGGAGGAAGACTGCACGCAGGACCGTAGAGAAATACTCTGTTTTTGATAATATATTATTCATCAACTGAAGGGTTCATTTTAATTGTTCAATTTTAGGCCTTAAAGTAATTTCTGATGTGACCCAGATTTTTACAAGCTTGCTCTTCAATAATTTTGTAATTCAGCGCTTATCTTATGTCATCTGTTAACGTATTATATGATGCACATATGGAGGGCATTGTTTTCAGTGAGTCACCAATATACTTAGTGAAAAGAAGTACACGTACAACCATTTTGCAGCATTCAGAAGCAGGAAGCAAAGCCTGCATATGTAATGAGCAAATCTGGCTTACGTACATATAATTACAAAATATTTAATGGATCAAGAGTTTTAAATCACATTGTTATGATTATTTCTAACAAGCTAATTGCCCTAACTGTATAAAATAATTATATAAAAGACAATGGATTTTTAGTCAAAAATCCTCTAGATTTACCCCAATTGGCTTTCTCTGTAACCCACTGCAACCAAGAGCACTTCTCAATTTTAGTGGAAGATTAGTTCCATAGCCTGTGCTCTGCAGCCTTCTCTCTCTCTCCTTCCTTAATAAACAATCAGATTAAAAATTCTCTGACTGATAACTGTGAGAACATATAAATATTGATACTAGGTATGCAAATTCCATTCCTGTATTACAGCAGGGAATCAGGGCCGGATCAAGAGCATCACGGGCCTGGTGCTTTTTATGGAAATGGCAAGGGTGGGAGGAAACCAGAATACCTGGAGGAAACCCACGCAAGCACAGGGAGAACATGCAAACTCCTTGCATATAGTCAGCTGGGATACGAACCGGGGACCCCTTTTGCTGCAAGGCATAAGAGCTAACCATTACACCACTGTGACACTACACAGGGCAGCACCGCTGTGCTGCCCTGTAAAATACCACAATGCAGAATACAGCCACATATAGAAGACTACAAATCCCAGTATTACATTACACAGAAATGAAGAATACCACCAACTATAGAGGACTACAAATCCCAGCAATACATTATACAGCAATGTACAATAATACCCCTAACTATAGAGGACTAAAAATCCCAGTAATGCATTACAGAGCATTGCAGTATATCACAAACTTTAGAGGACTACAAATTCCAGCAATACATTATAAAGCAATGCAGAATGGCACCAGCTATAGAGGACTACAAATCCCAACAGTACATTATACAGTAATGTAGAATAATACCACTAACTACAGAGAACTAATAATCCCTGTAATGCATTACAGAGCATTGCAGCATTCCACACACTATAGAGGACTACAAATCCCAGCAATACATTATAAAGCAATGCAGAATGGCACCAGCTATAGAGGACTACAAATCCCAGCAATACATTGTAAAGAACTGCAGAATAATACCATCAGCTATAAAGGACTACAAATCCCAGCAATACTTTATACAGCAGAATAATATGAAGCTACATACTCTGTGTTGCTCCGAGTTCGCGGCCTGATGTCTTCAGGGTCTCAGGAGAGCTGTGCGGGATTTAGGGTGGACTGTGCAGGCTCTCAAAAGTTCTGGAAAAAATAGACTATGTTCTCTTATGCAATTAAGTGCTTAATTTTTAGTTCAGACTGGAATGTACCTATAAAGGATGTTTCACTCTTTGACCTTCCATAGTGGACTCCCTGTGGGTTAATACTTACCTGCAGCCCCACAGCTGCCTTGGCCCAGATAGCCTTTTCTTCAAAACTTCAAAAGTGAAGGTTTTTTTTAGCCAGTTGAATCCCAGGGCCTTTTTCGCCTGCAGTACTCTTGTGCATTATTTTTCATTTCAGAGATGTCTCCTACAAATTATTATATATACATTTTTTTGGAGACAGGTAGGGCCTTAATTTGGTAGCAGATTTACATACAGGTATTTTCTAGGTTATTAGAAAAAAATGCATTTTCTTTTACTTTTCCCATGGCAACATTTAGGTGATTTGTACACCCCCAGATATTTACTAGGGATGCACTGATACCGGCTTTTCGGTATCAAGTAAGAGTACCAATATTTATTTATTTTGGTACTCGCTGATACACTTGCCGAGGCTGCCTGGCTTCCTGACCAATCAGGAAGCCGGGCGGCGAGTCGTGAGGTGCCATCCGGTTTCCTGATTGGTCAGCTAGCCAGGCTGCCTAGCAAAAAGTGAAGCCAGCTTCGCAGACAATCAGAAAGCCGGGCGGCACGTTATAACCCGGCTTCCTGATTGGCTAGGAAGCTGGGTTCACTTGTTACTGGGTAGCGTGGCTTTCTGACCAATCAGGAAGTTGGGATGCGAGTAATGACGTGCCCGCCTGGCTTCCTGATTGGTTAGGAAGCCAGGCTGCCTACCAACAAGTGAACCCAGCTTCCTTTCTAATCAGGAAGGCGGGAGGCGGGTCATAACCCACCTCCCGGCTTCCTGATTGGAAAGGAAGCCGGCTCCATGCTCCCTTGGCACTGCTAGTCAGAGGGAGATCTCCCTCTGACCAGAAGTTCCGGTATCGGATGCAAGTATAGGAGCATTTGGGTGAGTTAGAGTACTCACCCAAATACTCAGTATCAGCACCGATACCAATACTAGTATCAGTATCGGTGCATCCCTAAAATCTACCCAAAAATATAACAAGACAAGAAACTCTGTCTTGATATCACATGGGTCTGATCTTTTTCTGTAAGGTAGCAGAATGGTAAAGCTCAAATGAACCTTTGCGTCTTACTTTAGGACAGCGAAGATAGTTCACCAGCACTCAAGATGCAAGCAAAGTATCATTTATTGTAAATCACGTCACATAGGTAAAAAAATGCCAATGTTTTAGGGCGACGCAGGGTCCCTTCCTCAAGGCAACACAGTGACACAGTGTGGTCATTGTGTTGCCTTGAGGAAGGAACCCTGCATGGCCCTGAAACTTTGGCATTTTTTTACCTACTGCATGTGTTTTGCAATACAGGATACTTTCTTTGCATCTTACGTGCTGGAGGTCCTGCACGGCCACATGCGTGGCGGTCACTTCAAGCACCT